GGCAACCTCAAACTCTTGGGCTTGAGCAATACTCCTGCCTCAGTCTCCTAAGTAGCTAGGACTACCAGCACCCACCACAACGCCCTGCTAGTTTTTCTATTTTTTAGTAGAGATGGGGTGAGCACTTACTCAGGCTGGTCTCCAACTTCTGAGCTCAAGCAATCTACCCACCTCAGCCTCCCAGAATGCTAGGATTACAGGCATGAGACATCATGCCTGGCGGCCTATTAGTGGAGTTTTTAGAAACAAGAGTTCTAACAGTCAGTTTCTAAATAGTAGAGTCTTAAACTTTCTACCTTTCCCTTTTTCTTTATCACAAATCTTCAAAGAAAACATACTGCAATTCAGCAATTATAACACAATTCAGCTAACAAGTATTTGAGCTTAGACACAAAATGAAGACCAAATATATTTCTCTCAATGAATGACTCTTAAGAATGCTTTATATAATAAGACAAATATGAATTATATTGCATTTTTACAGGGCTTTAAAGACTTACAATCCAGTTGCTTAATACAGAAAGTGGACAGATGATCAGTGTTGTTCTTGGTCTTCCTTCAACATCAGTCTTCTTTGAACCTTCCACTGAAGTTACTCCTAAAAGAACCAATCATTGACACAGCGTTTAGTTGCTTTTCTCCAAAATACACATTTCAATAAGGGGATGAAAATAATGTGCATCCATGAAGAGAAAAATTAGGAAGAATTAAAATGAAGTAAACGGATTTCTGTTTCTAATCTTGATAAAATAACAGGAACTAGACTTTGCCTTGTCACTCTAAGTAAAAACCCAGATAGTAATTAAGTCTACAGTGTCTCTTGATAGTCACAGTCATTCACTGAGATGAACTTGTTCATGCCATTTTCTCAATTAGCATTCAACATAATGTGGTAGACAGATTCCAAGATGACCCCAATGAGTTCTACGTCCTGATATTCACCACCTTGGTAATCCTCCCCCACCAAATTCTACAAAGATTGGTCTGCATAGCCAACAGAATAAGGTAGAAATGATGATGCTGTTTCTGAGATTAGGTTACAAAAACAAAGCTTCCATGTTGGGTGTGTGCACGTGTACTCGCTCCTTTTTACTCTCTTTCTCTCTCTTGAATCACTCACTCTGGGGAGAGCCAGCTGCCCTGTTGTAAAGACGCTCACACAGCTTATGGAAAGACGATATACACAGTGAAGACCTGAAAACTACAGTTAACTGCCAACAAGGAACAAGGTTTACTGACAACTATGTAAATGAACTTGAAAATGGATCCTCTCTAAGTTTAATGTTCAGATCCAGCCTTAAAGGATAATTTGACTGTAAGCTCTTGAGAGATCATTAATCATAACCATCCAGCCAAGCCATTCCCAGACTCCTGACCCTAACAAAATGTATGAGAAATAATTTATCTCTTTAAATGGCTAAGTTTTAGAGTAACTTGTTACACAGTAAGAGGTAACTAATGTACTTATAATAAAAATTATTTAAATAAATCCTATAGCTGGTATCCACTGTCAATAGACTTATTGTTTACTTCCCTAGTAAACTTTGTTAAAATGAAATTTTCTGAGGTTTAAAAAAATTCTACTTTCACATTAATTTTAAAATTAAAATTGAAAGTGAACAAAGGTTGAAACTGGTCCTTAGTTACAAATAAAACTGAATTTTAGGTTACAGGCCAACCACAGTGGCTCACACCTCCAATCATAGCACTCCGGAAGGCGAAGGATTTCTTGAGCGCAAGGTGACCAAAGGTTAAAACTGGTCCTTAGTTACAAATAAAACTGAATTTTAAGTTACGGGCCAACCACAGTGGCTCACACCTCCAGTCATAGCACTCTGAGGTAGAAGGATTGCTTGAGCTCAAGAGTTCGAGACCAGCCTGACCAAGATCAAGACCCCACCCATCTCTACTAAAAATAGAAAAATGCATTTAATAAAAAATAAATAAAGAAAAACAAAAATAGAATAATGAACCAGGTGTTGTGGCAGATGCCTACAGTCCCAGCTACTTGGGAGGCTGAGAAAGGAAGATCGCTTGAACCACAGAGTCTGAGTTAGCTGTGAGCGAACCTGATGCCATAGCACTCTAGCCAGGAGCAATAGATCTGAAAAAAAAAAATTTTTTTTTTGAGGTTTCATAGAATATTTTAATGGATGTAAGAGCAAATAACTTCAGGTCAAAAATACAAACATTGCTATTCTGCTATTTTGAGGGAGATTCAAAAGGTTCATAAGAAGACTCCTGAGTCTTACCAAAAGACTAATAAACGTTTGTTCTCTCAAAAAACTATGAAATTAATAAACTAAATTCATTAAGCAAATTACAATAAATTCTATGCCAGTCTTTCCCCCAAAAGATAAATTATCACTATATAAATCAGAATACATAAAGCTTGCAAAATTCTAGTGAGAAATCTCTGCCAAGAAATTAGTTACCTACTGTTTTAATACTCTATTAAATTACATAAAGACCCACTGACTACTGAAGCCTTTCACAGTGAAACAATACAATTATGAGTAGATTTTGCCACTATCCTCAGTTCAGACGAAGGTGACATAAAAACGTCTCGGAACAACTCCTTGCTTTGAAATAGTTGTTTGGTGGAGATGACAGAACTTGAGTCTAGATTGTAAGCAGATTCTATTGTGCCCACTCTCTTCTGAAATCTAAAGAAACCCGGCCCTTTCAGTTGAGAAAGTATTAAATTTACACATATAAGCCACTTTCTACTGCAGACACATAGCAGTAATGTTATATAGGAGGTAAAACTAAAATGTCAAGCTGTGTGTCATTTTGTTTTAACAAAACGTAGCATATCTCTGAAACAGAAGCAAAACAGAAACAAAAATCAGTGAGTAGACACAGAAACCATAGTCCTATTAAGCTCTGTAGTGGTAGTAATCTCACTGTGTCTAAGATACAAAGTCTTAAGAAAAAGACTGGTTAAATTCTACTACGTTTTAAATATCCATATATCAAAAAGTACCAAAAATAAAGTCAAAAATAATAAGGCTGAGGAAAGTGTATGTGACAAGTATAACTGATAAAGGATTAGATCAGCAATTCTCAACCTGTGAGTTGCAACCCACAGGAACTCTATTAAAGGGTCGCGGAATTAGGAAGGTTAAGAACCACTGGATTAGACTCTAGACCATATAAGAATTCCTTATAAATCAATTAGAAAAGGACAACCCAATAGAATGGTCAAAAGATATAAATGTGGAGTTTGTAGGAAGAAAACCCAAATAACCAATAAACACAAGAAAAGATAGATAGACTCCTTAATTATTGAGGAAATGCAAATTAAAGGAACAATAAGGGAACTATATCACCCATCATATTTTTGTTATATATATATATTTTTCACAGTAATATTGGAGAGACTTTTGAGTGGAACATGATATTAGTGATATTTTAGTACCTGATTTATGTTCTCATTAAAATCAGGGAAACATGCATCTTTGCCTTTATTTATAATTGAAATTTTAGCATAACAGCCAGATAGTCTAAATCTAATTCTTTTTTGTCATTTAAGGCAATACTAAGTAGCATTTAAATAATATTCACATTAGTTTCAATCCTCTGCTAGTGAGATTTCCCCTTCCACCTTCTATTATACTAGCAATTCTGGTGCTTTCTCGGATGAGAGTAGGTAAGTTTAATTGTTTCAACTGAAAGTGCCAGGTTTCTTTAAATTTCTAAAATTAAGGTCAAGAATAATCCATCTGAAATGCTTGTATTTTCTATTCCTAATTATCTGATTTTTACACCAAAAATTAGCTCTTCCTCATGATTGTATATTAGCTGAAATATCATTTTAAATAGACTCCTTCAAGTCAATTTTTACTTCATTATCCTCCCTTTATTTGCTTCATATCAAGTATTTTTATTTAAAATGATATGTTTACTTGTTTATTGTATGTTTCCCCCATCATTAGATATAAGCACCATGAAAACAGACTTTGCTATATCCCCCACATGTAAAATACAGGATATCAAGGTGCAAAGAGACAGAACTTATGACAGATCCCCTTAGTCTTACTCCAATGTCATTTACTGTACCTTAAATATTTAGACATTTGAGACTTATTTTCCCATGAATTATAAAATATAAAATTATAATAAAGATCACTAACATTCTTAAATGCAAAGCAAATTCTAATCATAACAAAAAATTAAGTCTTTAAATTAATACAGATTAAGGGCGGTGCC